AAWTTTWRRAMYTGCCGAGAGTCAATCAAAACGAAACATTGGAAAGCTCCTCTTAATTAAAACATTAGTAAATAAAACTATGACTACTGGCCGACCCCATARTGACAGCAGTTTGCTAGAACTCGTTTTATCGAGCCTCGGAATGGTTTGCGACAACAACAAAAATGCGCACACATGATCGTAAGTCAGAGAGATCATCTCAGTTTTCATAAACATTCTCACAGGGATCATATATGTTACGAGCCTTCACTAAGGTCAATTACCATTCCTCACTTTAATTCATAGTCATCGGCTGTGTATTACCATAAAAGGAAGCATTAGTCAGCAAAGTCGTCATCAATGGATTTGCAGTTTCGAACAGGTGTTGTGTTTCTGAGTAATACAGCAAGATTAAATACGACCACCAATATAATAGCAGTTGCTTTTTGTCATCGGTGAGTCATTTTGGCTGCCGCAAGGAGTCCACACAGGCGYCCACAACGGGCGAACCACTTTCACTAATACTCCTTAGTTTCCATGACAACAAGATAATCAAACACTACAGCTTAAACAAGGAGTATACTGACTGATGATGCTAAGCTTACTATTTCAGTTTTTATCTTTATCTGGTTTCGAGAGTCTCTATGTAGTTTTGTTTCTATGGAGATATAAACATACCATACAATCCCCTTAAATAACCAATCGTTCAGGAGTCATAACATACATGTTATGACTTGCCAACATCTTCCTACGTAAAGTTGAGATTAAAAACTGGATTATATGTGTTCTTGTCAAAAGTGTATTTTAAAAGGATTGATTGGTATAGGTATAACTCTAAACTCGTCAGGTTTTATAAAATCGAGATCACTGTGTTATATATAACTTGTAATGATGAACACAAATAAATTGCAATTWCATCTAAGTGCTTTTTAAATAAATTTTCTGCGGTATAATGTCATTATTATTCGACACAGTGTTTTGCAATTGCATTTGTAATTAGTTTTAAAACGAAGATATATTACTTTGAGGTTATGGTTATCAATACAGTACATTATATTGTATATATTTATTGTCATTTGCATCATTATCAACAGCAGTATTCTATACATTGAGCATGCGCATTGTGCTGCAATTATACTCTTTTTAATCCCACACAGCGAAACAAAGTTATCGTGGCCAAATCGACGCCTGTCAAATAGCTAGTGTCTTAAAGAAACATTGAACAGCTAAATGTTCTGTTCAGAATTTGCTGATAAAATAACCACGTGACTCTATCCTGTACCATTTTAATATGCAAAGTTTCCACGTACGAACAGACGGTTGCTACCATCCTATAAACAACGTAAAAAATCAAGTACAAATCACCAATCCAGGATTTCCACATAACACTATTTGGAMTCGAAAAGATATATTGAATCAAATGAATATGTAAAGCTACTACATTTCCTTAATTATCTCATTAAAAACAAGACTTGAATAACAACAGTGGGGATGAAAATAATCGAGGTAGACAACGTTCTGTACATCGTTGATTGTAATTGACTTAAAACAAAGCAATTTTTGAACAAAGTAAGAGATATCAGTGAATGGATCGTGGAAAGTGATGAACATTCTTTAGAGGTATTATACATTGTGGTTTTCAAAATGACGTGCAATTTGCTCAAAATACGCAGAATGATTTTTAGGTGTTGATATTATCAGTTACCATGACAGCAGCAAGCATGGTACACATTATTGTTTGAGAACCTCAATTCCGTCATTTAAGAGCCGCAAGTACGCAATCGACGACTTCAAAGGCTGCGGTCTGGCTTGTGTTTTACATTTCTTTTAGAAAACAAAAAAGCGATTAAATTTCAACTGCATCATCGGATCATCTCTTTTCTCAAACATCGAATTTCACATGTTCCAAAGTCAATGCAAATAATGTCACAAAATGTACAGTGATCCTTGATTTCATCCTGGACATGACGTTTTGTCCATTGTCATTACCAGAATGCTTTTCGAGGTTAACTAGCTCTTTATGTTCATTGATGGAATGTTGAAAACCTCAAGAAAAGATTTTGTGTTTAGCTCTTCATCCTTTTCACTCTTAACTAGTCATTCCGACACAAAACTAGTTAACAAATTCCTCGATAAGAATCGACAGTTTGAAACGCCGTATAAATTGTTACTAGGTGCTTAAGGAAGTTCAGCTCATTTGCATTGAAATCGGCACAAGTGATATTTGGCGCTTGAAGCGAGCCTAACTCGAGTTTCTTTGTAAWAGTTCAATTCATATATTAATGTGAAACCCGCCTTTAAGATCGACAGCATTGTCCAGTTATAAGCCTACATTAACAATAAGGGGATCAACACCATTATATCAATACCAAGTAGGACTGGAAACACAGGTGACTTTCACAAAGAATATCATCATAGTTATACAAGACTAAGACCAATATGATAAGACTTTTGTACAAACGAAATCACCCACACACGTGGATAGAATCTGTTGCATCATTTTTTCATTACTTCCCAATATCTAACAGCCAGACAAGAACACGCATTTCACGGTTTTCTGCCCGCAAAATTCTTCATTGTCCTTGAAGTATRCTTAGAAGTTCAGTTTTACGGCGTGGGAAACTCGTTTAATGTTACGACCTTTGCGATTCGCTACACTATGCACTGTTGACTAAGCCACCATGCGTTTGTTGAATATGAAAACAAAAGTAAAAAAGAGTGAATAATTTCTCCCTTAATACGCTTCAAAAGCTTCCGTCAATATGTGTATTTGAAAGCACCATGTTTGCTTTCTTTATAAAAGAAAGTAAGAGTTAATTAAAAGCAAGCGTTTCTTAAACATATTTATCGTTTAGCTTAAAGAAATATACTAATCGAGAAAGAAACTGTTTAAACGTTGCAAGTTTGTCAGATATTCTTAGTAACTTAGCGACATAAATAAACAAACTGAGGAAAGCGTTTAGTTTAGAATCACGTGTAGAGAGATGATAGCAAATGGCCTCGAGCGACAGGTGCTACACACAATCTACTCTTGTGGTCTACTTACTCTGAAAATTTCAATAACCTACTGTTTGCTTCCAGAATAAAAGAAAAGAAGTCGTTTGAAAAAGTCTAATTTCTACAGCTGTCAAAACGGTGTGACTTTTTATGACTGAGTTATTCTATATGAATCGCGGGTACAGACTTTTATCACTTATTCTCAGTTGGTGCTTCGTGTTTCAATTAATCGATCAGTTCGTCTTCTTTCAATAATATAGATGGCGCACACTTTGCCTTTCTAATGCATTATCTATGTCTCTTTCAGAGTGAATTTTCAGCGCTTTTTTCTCCTTATTGGTCAAAGCATCATTATTTTAGTCAGTTATTAGCTGAATTCTAAATAAGCTGTTATGTTTCTGTTTTTGTCAATAACCTGCCCTGCAGCCCTGTTGAGTGCCGAAGCTCTTTCAGAAATTTGATTACAATGAGAAGCTTTCTTAAGAGTGAAAGATCACATCACTGGGGATTCGACTAAATTGTGTTGAAATGGTTCTCAAAGAACTGTTTTATAATGTTCTCATTCAATATTAAGGACTTGCCATCATTGACTATATTGGAATTTCAATATTCAAGTGTTTTTTAGACTACAAAGCTAGGATAGGAGTTCGCACTATTGTAAGAGACACTCTTGCCTGTGACAAATAGACCAAAAGAATAAATTCCATTCAAAAATGTTTTTTGAGAGCACTTAAGTTTTTAGATGATCCGTTTATCATATAAACATCTTACTTTTCATTTTAACCCGTCATTGTGAATCGCGCATGACTTTTGTTGTGGTCAAGAACTTGAATTATTTCTCTTAAACAAAACCATGACATTAAAATCTCTCTTTTCGAAGTTGAAAGTGTGTTTTGAAAGTGAATAATCGCAAGCGTCTCAGTTGTTTTTACTATCTAAAGTATAATCCATCAACAAAATTACAGAATCAGGCTAAAAATACTACTTCATCAGGGTTTGTTAATCAAAGTGAGTGGTTTTTGGTCGTATCTTTGATGATCGCATGGATTATTTATAGCTTGGCTCACCGCTGAGAATTATATTTCCATCCCCCCTCAGTTATCTTACGCAAAATTAACTCAAGGTGTATCTTTACTTTAGCACTTGCGCTGGCGTAAATTGTCATCGTATCCAGTTAATTTGCTGTACTGCTAGTAGTACCTACGAACTATAGACCACCTGTATTCTCTTACAGCCGAATATATTGAGCTAACGGAAAAACGCGCTCTTGTTGTTATAGATACAAGGTTTGTTGTCTGTTATCAATGTTTTAAAGCAGACTTCAACTAAGACACAATTTTCCCTTTAGTTGTTTCATATATTTGATTACAGCGTTCTATGGGATTGATTTAAGCGACATAGGTCGCGTTGGGAGTATAACCCAGACTGTTTCATGCGACGGTTGTAAGCTTCAGTGCTATGTCTGCGCGTCACTGGCAACGCCCAACTCAAGATTATTTCTATCTCACCATAATTGTTAATACCAGAACTTACGTCTCTGGCACTTGAAACTATTATAGCAATTAGGCATAGATTAGTTTAGTTACTATTAGCAACCCCATAACGCGTATAAGATGTATGCAGCCTTTCATCAAGGGTTTACAATTAATTCGATGGTGTTGTTTGCGTAGCTTTCAATATACGTTATTATAGCTGGATAGGAAACCATTTTGCTTCCTTTCAGCAGGGGTTAGTTTGTTTATTAGTTTAGCACTCGTTCAATGCAATATCGTGCCCCAGAAAGAGACGGAAACACTTCGTAAATCATCATGCGGTTTCTTATTGTTCTTCTTAAAAAAAATTCCTTACGCTATCTAAGTGGATTTTGATGAGTCATTTTCGTTACATTTGGTCGATTATAAGAACTAAATTACTGTATAGCTAAAACGGAAATAACACACAAAACTGTCAGAGAATGTTCAGATTGAAACCCTGCAAAAGTCGGTTACGATCAGCCTACTACAGCAGGTAACTTTTATACTAAAACAGCTGCCTTTGACTTAGTTAGCATTTTCTAAAATTGCTTTTTGGCACATTAAAAATGGAATAAATGCATGTACCTTTGTAATTCTATTCTCACTCAGTTGAAATCATTTAAAATTTATTTGCTTAAAACATCATTTTATTGTCAACTAATAAACTAAAAATAAATGATCAGTCCAGAAGCTTCTGAAATCACGCTTCAAAGGTCTCGTCATAACGACTCTCCAATTTGGTACGTAAGGTATGACGAAAACATCGAAAAGATACGATTTATATGAAAATTTCAAACACATATTATCTTTCTTGGAGTCATTAATAGCAAAGACAAGTTAGGAATAGGCACAACAATGTGTTTTTGAACAACTTTTATCTCAATATTASGTCTGTAGAGCAAACTGCGTCAAAAAGAACCTTGAGTTATCCATGGGCATCCAACTGTTTGAACAYGTCTAATTATCAGCCATTATAGTCATCACTCTTGATGCAAGGCCATTAACCACTAAATGACATTTTTAGTATGAATTGTAAACAACTCTAGTTCAATGTTAATACTAAAAGAAAATAATTAGAGAATGTTCAAATGGTATGGTCACTTCTTATAAGAGGAAGTGCATGAAAAATGCATATAGTTTTCTTTCTGCCTGGCTGAAATGTTTATTGTTATAATTTTACCATGGTCGACTCCAACGTGCCATAGCTATGATGCAAGCCTGCGTTTATCGTGATTTATACAGCAACGCAAATCATTGTTGCAGAAAAATGCTAATCATAATTCCGTTTTCAAAGTGACTATGTTTTGCCTCACGCGAGAATATAGGAAATAATTTTTGGAGTGAAAAGCAATTTAGCACAATAACTTTAGTTCACGACAGGCATATTACGACGATTCAGCGTCCAGTCACTTCGYAATTGTTCGTTTACCTTTTCTTCTGTCATAAGGCACAAAAATTCAAAAATCAAGAACTCTTGATATATTGGGATTAAAAAAATATATATGACTAGCGCCCGAGGGTTCAATCCAAGTACCATTGCCTATCTGCAGTATTAATGTAATATGGACGTGAAAAACATCCTAGATAAAGTAATTTTAATGTATTTTCCAAAGGCTTTGAATCATACTTTCGGGTTGCCTTTCGCTTTCTTGTAAATTATACACAAGCTGAATGCAGCTATTGAAAAATGATCCGAAAACAATATAATTAGTGAATCAAAATTGAACTTTGTACAAATAAACATCAAAGCGAAATTTAACTCACAACATCTTTTGGTTTTCAAAATAAGGAAAAGTTGAATATCAAATGGCATTTCATGTTTTTGTTTTGTATTWTTAGTTTTGTTATTACATGTATGTGTTGAGATAAATTTAGACTTCGTTTTTATCACTTAGGGCGCGAATTTTAGCTAACGCACTCGCAGCCATTCTGAAATGGAGAAAATTTCTCTTGTCGCGTCCTCTTGCCATAGAAACCATCTTTGTATGTATTAACGAGGATCTTGCTGTGATGAGGGTCGGCTTTGTTTTGCAGGTGGTGTTGTGACTTAAGAAATAATAAAAAGCCATGTGGCTATGAAACAACTGTACATTTTAGTGGATTTTAGTCATTTTACAACAAGAACCACAGTGTATTTTACTTGMAAAACAAGTCAGCCAGCCGCTTTCAGCTTTGGTGTAGCGAAATTAAAACCATTCATCAAAAATTTACTACRTTCTAGAGATGGTTTTGAATAATTAGAAATCAAAACAAGTCTTGAATATTGGCCTCGTAACTGTTGAAACTTTGATAAGTTGACAAAAATGTACATTTTCCCTTTAGCTTATGAAGCCCAGAGAATTAGTCTTTTCAGCACACGCGCGTGATGTACAAGGATTAATTTTAAGTCACTGAAAACACGRACACTCTCTTTTTGCCGAAACCGTTGAATAACATAATCCGCAGTGCGAAAAGTGTTTACTGGTGCGTTCAATACTTGTGCGTAAATTGTATTCAGAAAACCTTTGTTAGGCAAAAGTCAGCACGACTCAAACCACTTCTCATCCTCCAACGGCCGGTCGACTTTTTGCCTCTTTCTCAGCATGTGAAAATAGAAGATAACACAGAATATTCGAAAACGCTGGGGCATTTCAATCATTTTTTTGAAAATTAAATTTATTACTAACAAATAAGTGAGAATGGGGTAAATAACAATAAATATTCTTGGTATGTTTTCGTGCGTTGTGGTTATTCTAGTCATTCCAGGCCAATATTCAAAATTTGCAAAATTGGCGGCAAAAGATTCTCGACGCTTATTTCTATAGTAACGTGACTCAGGCTTGACGTTGCTATGGTAACCTCCCTCCCACGCCAGTTGGAGCCTTCTTTTGGAAAGAGGACCATTTCATTTCCTTACGTTTACTTTCTAATTTGAGACTGTTAACGCTGTTGTTTCGTGTCTGAATCAAATATCACTACAGCTATTGGTAGAAGGTCCAGTTCTTATCCTAAGACAGAACTTAGAATATTCCAGCAGTCAACACGGGTAAATTAGGCCTTTAAAACTGATACATTTATTACGATGTCGTCATTTTGCCCTCACATTTCGAAGCGTAGAGTTGTTCCCTTGTGGAAGAATTCAACTGTTCTTCTTTCTGTTTCAGTAATATTTCCTTCGAAGCCGCGGATATCGTAATATGGCAAAGTATGTTCAAACCATAAGCCTGCAATAATTTTAGGTAAGCTAATATATTTTTATTTCTGTTACATGATCAGTGTGTGAATAGGCGTAAGTTCCAGCCACGTTGCATGTTGTTGTTGAAATGGTGAGGAATACAGCGGGTAGTTTGCGAAAAATATCAAAGCAGAAATTTCCGCAGTAGCATATTTAAAGCTCAGATATGTGGACGATAGAGTTGTCCTCTCGGGTAAATAATAACACAAGGACTCGATATGAAATACGGCTGTTCGTGTTGTGTCACTGCCCACGGTTGTTGTGCTTGTTCATGTTCCAATGAATCCTTTGGTAAATTCACACTAGTTTTACGGTATCTGCTCCTCTACAAGAAGGCAAGTTAAATAAAAGTAAACTAGCATTTTCTTCCGACTTATTGCCTTTAAAAGCTATTTTACACATCTTCCATTGTGTAGAAGCATGTGCGTCGGTTTATTGAGAACACGTTGTTTTCGATTCTTGATGTCGCAAGTGTGATTTAATATTTTTCTTACAGTTCGCGTTCATGTCGGCATAACAACCGTTTTCATAAATTTTAGGTTCCGAATCAAATCACGTCCTGCGTCTCAGAAATTTTAGTCCTTAGGGGATTTCTAAAAACACAGGCCGAACAACTAACTATTCTTATTAGATTTATTGTTAGTCCACGAGAATAATTGTGCGTTTAATTGAACGATATGAATGTAACTATTAGAAATAGTGCCAAAATCAAAACCTTTTTCCTGCTGAAGCGTTCATGATAATCTCGAACTCAGCTTCTTTAAAATTGCATTCAATTGCTTTTATTTTCCCCCTGCGGTAAGGCTATTCAACCTCTGCCCTAAATACGAAATGATCGAAAACAACACGGCGTTTGAATAAATCCACTGGAGTGTTGCTTCTGTGGTTTCTTCGTTGCTTCAGCGCAAAGGTTTTCTATGTTTCGCTTTCATAGTTACGAGCGTGAATACTATGTGTTGAAAAGGAAGTTTAACTTTTGAAGTTCATCACTCGATCAACGTCGCACTGTCAAGAAAAATAAAAGGATTTTGAATGCAAATGAATTAATGATGAACCACGTTTCGACTCCTGAAATATCTACGGAGTCATCACGTATGAGTTTTGATTACTTTGAAAAAACAGTTGAATTGCTGAGTTTTTTAATGAAATTCTCTATGAAATATGAACTGTATCTTACGTTTATTAGTGAAGAATTTTAAATTCTGTAATAGGATCCGAAGGGTGACTTCGAACTTTCTAAATATACTTGGTACGATTGAGCTATTGTGTGATTGAAAGAAGACCTTGTATGGCCCGCACGTGGAGTGTGACCAACTCCGTTACGGTCCATCTCTGTTTACATTCACTGCAATTGTTCGATTATAAGTGGAGATTTATTATCTTTCATAGTCAAGAAACATTTTTTTGCGTCGGTGCAAATTGGTCACTTCAGCACTGTCATCATCGCGGAAAAATGCTTGATTATTCGAATCTCCATGAGTATAAATTAGTTTGTTATCTATGTAATCTTTGTCTTGTTTCTCATAGATGTACTTTAGAACATAAGACTGTGTAGTAGGATTGATTTCGATAATTTTAAGCAGCTATAAAATGAAAAGTGGGCCTTGTTAAAACTCATTCCTTAATAATCGTTTAGGCTTTGATTTGCTTTCTCTCCAAATTAAAATCTCTTAGAAATTTGCGTGTGTTTTAATTTTCTGTTAACACTGTATTTATATTTGAATTTCGATGTCATCAAAGGAAAACAGTAGAAATACCGTCAGAGTTGTTTATTATGWAAGCTGGAAAAAAGATAATTCTCATTTTTCGGAGGTTTCTAGAAGAAATCAATATGCACCAATGGTTCTCATTATCATTCACCGATCAAATTTATTTTGTTACGAAAAAGTATTTSTCTTTTGAATTTTTACACTGTGTTTTTGATTAATTTGTGTTGACTGAGTGTTTTCTTAGCAAGTTTCTTTATAAATGTTGCAAGCAAGACAGTATTGAGCTGACCAATTTGGAACAGATTGCTTGGGAGTTTACACAGTTCCTAGGAGACGGCGAGCTTATTTGCATGTGCGGCTTTGTTCGCGCCAAACTAGCATGTTAGACGATAAATAAAGATCAATTTTGGACTACTGTTAATCGAAAACACCGCTCTGTCTACTGTTTTCGATGATGCGAATAAGAAACAACTGACCACTTCCATTTGTTAGACGAAGATATCCCTATTTTGCACAAGAACAGCGTAAAAGGTCCAAATTATCAGCCATTAAAGGGAAAAAGCCAAAATGCTATCACAGAAGGATCAAAACTTTTCACACATGATGTTTGCATGTCGGATTGATCTTGTCATTCTGCTGTCAATTCAAGGGTTTGTTTGGTGTTGTCATGACTCCAGCAGGATATATCAGTAAATTCTCTCTTAACAGATAAGTAAGAATTAGTGTTCACATCGATTTGATATATCTGGTTATTATGACTAAAATACTCGGTATAAAGGCTTCTCTTCTAAGGAATTTCGTATATAATTGCAAAGAAAAGAATTGTCATGCAAAGGAAGTGTTTATATAATCAAGTGCTCACATGGAAAACATGTGTTTATTTACTGGTACAATTATCCATCAGCCAGTTGCATTTCAATTTCCAACATTTGAAGGAAGCATTGAATTATTGGCTAAAACAATATCCCTACACAAATAAACCTTCTYATTGAAAGATTCTATATAAATTGAAGAATAAGTGTTTTTCAAGAGAATTAGGCAAATAACATGGCATGAATAATGGATATCTTTACAGTAAGCTGCATCTGTTCCAAATAAACCCATAATCACATTATAACAAGAAAGTCATTATTTATGAATGTGAATTTGCAAGATGTAATACATTAAGTACATTAGCACGTACTAGGGCTCTGGGTTTAATTATATACTTTATTTTTAAAAGGTGCTTTTGCTCCTCACATCATCAGCTGTTATGTATAGTGTTCCAATTTCCAAGGTTTCTCAGAGATATGACCTGAGTTGTTAGATGCTTGTGGCAAAAGCTAGATTGAAGTATGRCATTGGATTTCTCTTGATTATTAATAGAATTACTCGCAACTAACATTTGTTAAAATTCTTTTAATAATTTCCYTGTCGTGAAAGAAATATGTGCTTGCCTTAGATAAATGCAGACCATCCTCCATGCATCATGGGGTTACCTAGGTTACTTAATGCTATTTTGAGCATTTTAGCAGATGCAGTGAAATATTCTGAAAAGGACATTTTATTTTTGATTAGAATTTATCAAAAGCTTTCATTAGTCTTAGAACTACATCTTTTTATACTGGATACTTTTTTTAGCGCTTTCTATTTAGAAAACCTTTCCCTTTTGAATGCTACCATGTTTGCACCTCTGCTGGTTGAATGTTGGAAGCACTATCAGATTTTCATCACATGCTGTAGTTATGTATTTAACAGATGCTTACTTTTCAACCTGGTTTGAACTAAGACATTTTAGACTTGAAAGCTCTAGTTATTATATAACGAACATTACTTTAAAGGTTGGTATCACATCATATGTTGACTGTTTTCTCATTTAAAACTGAAAAGCCGAATATTTATTGCATTGTACAAGAAAAGCTTCTTTACACAGAATAGTTAAATTTTTTGGTATTCACTTAAGATGTCCAACTTTGACACACAATCTACAGTCTTAATTAGTCAGTTTATTTCATATTTATTATGTCTAGCAAAAAGTGCTTTTTATTGTGTAGATATAATACATAGCCATTTCCTATAATATAAACATAACCATTGAGCAATATCATTGTCGAGATAACGAAACCTAAGTATCTTTTAAAACATATGATTTTCAAAATATTGTATAAAACTGAATTATACCCATGTATTGTCACAYGAACATGCATTTTATAAATTTGTATTCATCTTTGTGAAATGTATATACTATACATTTGACGCTTATGTCATTGGTTAACCATAATTTAATGAATAATATTAATTTGAGAACAAATATTTTGTGACATTAAGATCCTCTTCATCATTTTCAACATGGTGTCCTTAATAACTAGAGACAGTCTGCTATCTCTTTAGATCGTCAGTTAAAAACACATCAAACACTGTCAAGACTAAGGTTATTGCGCATTATTTAAAAATCAAGATTCAAACAAGTATTGTTCCTTGTATCAATGTCAATGCCTAGCTTTGAAAGTTTTCTATGAAGCATGCTATGTAATAATAATAATAATAATAATAATGAAAACATGTATAGCGCATATACAAGTCTGTTCTATGCGCTCTGATATAACTAACAAACAAATTAAACTCTAAAAGCTAAACTAAAACAAATAAGTTTTGAGTTCTTTCTTAAAGGACAGCAAAGAGTCAATGTTTCTTAAATCAGATGGGAGAGAGTTCCATAAAGTAGGGGCAGCAACACAGAAAGAGCGAGAGCCATATGTTTTTGTGGAGTAAGGTTTAACAGATAGGAGTAGTTCTTWAGAGGACCGAACAACAGTTGGAAAAAGACATTCATTAATTTATTTATAGATCTATAATTTCAAAAAGTGATGGTTGCCACAGCAACTATTTTTGAATCAGCTAAATATTAAGATGATGCCTATTAGTTTCAGAAAATCCTTTTGTAAGTTCTGTAGATTTAATTCTCATAACAACTTGATGAATTATTGATAAGTTGTAATTTTGGAGATTTGCTTAAACATGTTTTATGCCAACTGCAAATGCCATATCTGCCTGACTTCTATTTTGGGACTTGTTAAAATCGTTTCTTTTTTTTTCCATATTGATTTACTATCATAAAATGAGAATGAAGACCTGTATTATTATATGAAATTATTCAAATTTAACATGAATGAGCAAAGCTGTTTYCCACCACACACTTCATGCAATGTTTTACAAGATTTGCGTTTATCATATTCACATTAAAATGCAATAAAAGTAAAATTAATACCGGTTATAGAGTGCAAAAGTGTTAACCCGTAGATATTTAACTGAGTAATTCTTTTGGCAGATGGTATATTRCAGTGTCCATGCTGCACTGTATYCGTGATCTTTCCTCTAAATGTGAGCTTCCATGCCGTGTGTTGTCTGCCTGTGCACRTCTCTATGCTATTATACAGCCATACTATATTTATCATTTCTGTTTAGTCCCTTAGAAGGGAGCAATTATAGCACATTTTCATTTCTCAAATACTACAGTTAACTGTTTGCAACTAAAGATTGTAAAAATATAAAAAAATAAAAAAAATATAAAACTTAATTCTCAAAATATTATTTGTATTATTACTCTTCTTTGTAGTCAAATTCAATTTTCTCCGGTTTTCTCTCAGCTGTTAGAAAGAGCTTGTTTAGCATTGATCACTAATACTTGTTTGTAAAAGGATGTTATTTAAAGTGGTTAAGAATTCTAATTAAAGCTATAGTGAGTTTTATTCAACCTTTGTTGTCTGCATCTGGGGAACAGGTGTAGCTATTTTATTGTTTGTATTTGGTTCTCATGGCAACAAGTATAATACAGCTTGGTGTTTTGAATCTTCTAGAGGTGTGGTTATAGCTATTCCAAAACTAGTGTAGTGTGAATTGCTTGCACACGTTTTTTAACAAAAATATTGATCAGCCAGATTTTAAAAATGTAATGTCCAAATACATGGCCCTTCAAAATTACCAGTCTTTTAATTGTGTATTTTGATGATTCTAGTGTTATTGACAATTATGTCGTGCTGCATGACTTATTTGTTTGTGTTTTYAATCATTTCAATTGATGAATTTTTACCAGTATATTAAGTTCTAACAAAATGCAAAATATACTCCCAGTAATTTCTTTCTTTGCATAAAATGTTCTCTTCTCCAAAATAAGAAACAGAAGGAATTAGAATTAAATGTGTACTGGATACTTTTTTGCCTAGATTATTATTAAAACATAGTATTCTTTGCAGTATTGAATATTGAATTTTGACTGATATTGATGTTTTTTTACGGTTCTTTTTTACAATTTCAGGTGCCATGCCTCCAGTTCGCAAGTCAGACCTGGAAAAAGTTCGCTCAGGTCCATATTTGAGCCAGTCTGTTAACTTGGCGGTGAGAAAGCCAGACATTGTACACAACAAACTAAGTAGCAGCTGCTTTGGAGCAATCAGGACTACTAAAGATAATGACAATGACCTGACGAGCCTTAACTGGCTCAGYCGTAATGATGTTTTACGGGGATTTCATGTTGGGTCCTCGGTCCCCCCTATGTCACCTCCTAGAGACGGTGAGGGGGACTATGCAAATGAACTTGACCTAGTACAACATGGTTCTGCAGATGGCTTTTTGAACAAACAGAAGACACCAACAAAGCCTCCATACTCATTCTCGTCACTGATTTTTATGGCAATTGAAGAGTCTCCTAATAAACGGTTGCCAGTAAAGGATATATACAACTGGATAATGGACAGATTTCCATACTTCAGAGATGCAAGGCTGGGGTGGAAGAACTCAGTGAGACATAATCTCTCACTCAATAAATGTTTYAAGAAAGTAGACAAGTTTAAAGGTGGAGTTCAGGTAAGTAATTTATATTTCTGGCCATCCTTATTCATGAGGAATGCCAGAGGCATGATAATTATTAGACCATTATTAGCATCAACTACAAGTGTGTAATGGATCTTTGTCTTTGAGAAAGTCAACTCCAGTCTTTTGTAACAAACAAAAGCTTCAGAATCCAATAGATTGACCAGGAGAAAGACTAAGGGATGATTATAATCTTCCCATCAACTTCAAATTGGGAGTAATTGATTTTTGAATAACTTTTAATAATCTTCTTGKCTCTCTCTTTCTAGAATGTTGGTAAAGGCTCTTTGTGGACAGTGGATCCAGATTACAGGCCAAATCTTGTTCAGGCATTAAGAAAAACACCATCTTACAATGCATACCATCACTTACTGTCTACGCCCCCTCCATCTCCACAAAATGGGTAAGTATACATTGTACGTTATGCAATAGCAAGTGAGTATAGCAAGTGAGTGTCATGATGATGATTTCTTCATATTGGTCTGGTTGATTAGTAATTAATGTTAAAGTGATCAATTGATTGACTAGAGTGTTGATTGCTAAGTTGATTATTATTATAATACTTGTTAACATTATAGCTGATTGATTGGTTTGTTGATTAATTTGCTGATGATGATCAATACAGGAACATTTGTACAATTAGAAGAATGAATGGATTAGTTTACATGAAATTGCTGTTTTACTAGTGGCTTGGTTATATAAGTAAACTAGCACTAACACATTCACATTAACAATCATAGTGCTATTTGTCTGTCTGTCAATGCAGTACGACGAGGTTATTCAATCTAATGTGTCTTTTCTCATTTGATAGATCGACTACCCATCTTGTAATGAATGGAATAAATGGTAAGAATAATAAGTAGGCTAGGACAATGATTAATAGACTTAGACTTTTACCAGTGATAAAGGATAATAAATAAATACATTGTATTTATTAAGCTACATTGTCCCATGTGAATTTGATGTAATGCACATTAATCTACAGTTTAACAAGACTTTCCCTAATTCGTTATTGCAGGAAACAGCAAGTTTGATTCAGCAGATGTAGATCCTGATGCAGAGGCTGAAGCAGTTGCCACTATGTGTTTGATTGCAACACCACCAGAAATWAGAGCTGCTGAAAGTAAGTTTCTAGGAAAATGGTATTTCAGATGAAGGATTATTTTAAAGTCTAAAATATCATTTGTATTTTTGCAGTTGTACGGTGCCAGTCCTGCCCACCATCAGCAATTGAGGAAGATTCTCTCGTAAAACGAGCAAAAGCATATTTCTACAAACAACGAGGGTCATTTTCTGGTCTACCTACTATGGCCAACAACATYTATAGAAGGTAAGAATTGAAATAGATATAGAATTGGAAATAAAATTATTTATTCATTTTACGTCAGTAGGCAATGGACTTTAGAATGTATGATTGACACAGTGTGACTATTAGAAAGATATCTGTATGGTTTGTCGTGAGGCTGTGATGAAATTGTCACCTGAGACTCATCATAATTTTCCGAAGGCTTAGAAACTCAGCTTGGTATCATATAAACCAAGAGGTCAGGGGCCCATTTTCAAATTTGGCTAAGAATCAGTRCCTACAATTGGTCCCTGAAAAGTCAAATACTATAATGTCCAACATAATCAAAGCAAGTTTTATTTCATTGTAGAAATATTGGACGTGGTTTTTCAGCATCACTTGGTAGCCTACTTGAAGCTTCCAAGCTAAAAGATTGCAATATTTCTCCAGACTCTTCTTTTGATGGTGAATTTGAATTTGACCATCAGTCAGAATCTGAAGATGAAAATGAGGACAGTGATATTGAAGAAAACATGAAGAGAGTGATAAAACGTGACGAGCTTAGTGACAGCGGTTGTGGTCAGGGGTTTGAAGAAGAATTCGAAGGCCATAACATCAAGAATGGCTCTAGCAAAAGAAAATGTCGAAAAACCAAACAAGCAAAACTTAATGATTATGCTGGAGCAGATGCTCTGTTGAGTTTAGCAAACACGGCATGTAATTTGATTAGCTCCAGAGAGGGTTCACCAAGTCCTGTTGTTGCACAGTCACCCAAATGTGTCACAGCATCAAGCTAACAGTTGGAGATCCACAGAAAGACAAATGGAAACACTCTGAAGCCCTATATTAGATGAGGGCAGTGAAGGCATAAACCAAGTTATAGGTAACTTATCAATCGAGGTCAATTCAAGACACATCAAAAACAATCCTGGATTATTTAATGATACATCTAAAACTGGCTTATATAAGGCAACGTGTTATTGGGCAATTATAAATCCAATCAATGGACCTTTTGATTATATTGACAAATGCTTTTAAACGGCATTGAATAAGGAAACATAAAATGATTCAGCTTTTAAGAATTCTAAAGTTTCATAAATTACAAAACATTTTAGTCAGAACGCATCAAAATTATATTCTAGTTTATTTTTCTCAACAAAAATCCCAATACAGTAAAACAAAAAAAAAGCTGGTTGAAGACAATGAGAAAAAATATGGTTACGGTTGCAAACTGATTTGATGAGATCAAAAATCGAATTTTAAGTTTCAAACAAAAAGAAGGAATAATATTAAGCTTATGTTCAAAGTGTACTAAGAAAATAAAGACCAAATTTGTTAAAGTTAAATTAAATTTATTAGAGTACAAAACGAAATATATTATGTTACATATATTCCGTACAAAATATTATAGGATAAATTTAATAAGATATGGAAAAGCAGCAAGAGCACYTGACCTGTCAGTAGACCACGCTGGCGAAAATATTACAAGGCTACGAGTAAAGCTTAGTTATAAAATAAGCTTAAGTCTTACTAAATCTATTAAGCTTAGCTGCATACTAGTAAAATCTCCGTCGATATACAAATTTACAGTTCAACGACAACATCATATTCAATCAATGTCAAGTAAATACTCACCGTTTGTAGTTTTATAGAAAAATTGGTTTGCATAGCATTTCAATTCCAAGAGATTTCACAGAGAATTTTTTTCAATATGGCGAAGATTATTTTTGAAAGCTCAGATGGCGGCAAAATGTGAGAAACCGCATGCCATGGGTACTGCTGTCCAAATGACACGTGATTCAAATGAAATTTTTTTGCTGCAGGTCCTTCATTTTACTAGAATATAATTTTTCATATTTTGCGTTTTTAGGGAAAATATTAAAGGCAATCTAACAAACCGACAACTATTTAAAAGAACAAATTAGTAATCCACAATACAYTCTTATTTCGTTCGAATGAGAACTGACTTAGTTGTATTCTAAACATGAYGTTCAGTTATGACAACTGATCGGAATTTGAATAATAGATTTTTTATCTGGAGCGGACAAAAACCGTGAGCCCTGAACTTTAGAATTATTTTTTAAAGTATATTTTGGTAAATTTCAAGATATATTAGTCAGCAAGTGGTATTATACATACGCTGATAAAAAAGGGAAAAATTTTCATATTCATTGAACTCMATATTCATTCGTATTTTGTATAAGAGAAGGCCCAATTATTAGAATCATAGTGATTAYGTATAGCAGTTGATGCTAGATAATGTTAGATGTACAAGATTATTAATGTAAATAAATGGCCAAAATAAAGTTGGTGATTTTTATTGTCCACGTGGTGCCGCCCTTTCCGTCCTCGACTCGACTTTACGCTTGGGTCAAACGCCGAACTTAATTTTTGCCGTATCAAAAAGTTTAACGTTTTAAAGTCATTTGCTTTCACCAAATTACACTGTAAAATATCCGATACCTTGTGTTTTTCAGAACACACAGTTTGTACCTTTAACTGCCGTTAAGTCCTGGGCATTTTGCTTTTAAAAACTTCCGAAATTCTAACAAGTTCAACGAATTAAGTTCGGTGTTGACCCTAGCATTATCAAACCTGCCAAGCTGTTTAGTTTGGCTAAATTGCGCAAASTAAATTGTTGATAATCCACCAATGATTTAATAATTTGTTGATCGGTTTAGCACATGTATCCCTGACCTCGTTTACGCAACAATCGATGATTGCGCTGAGCCAATGCCGGTAGCCTGCGTAACATCGCAGATGAACTACGGGCTGCAATAAGGCCGCCAGATTCTAGTTATTGTATAAAAGTGATGCACTCAAATTGCAATACGATAAACCGTTTGACTGCTCAAATGTGGTAAATTGGACATGAAGTTCGAGAGACACATTTTCGCTTACATGGGCCTTTGTTATCAAAATTAAACTGGAGAAACAGCTCCATAACTTGGAAGAGAACAACTCGAGATATGATCAATATACGTATCCCTGTGTTACCGGCTGCACGCGAGTCCTAATCATCGGCAAATATACGAATGRTCCTTCACAACAAATTATATCYARACCCTTGAACTGAGCTCGCCGTCAAAAATGAAAAGYTAGGATTTCGAGTCTATCATTTAGAAAGAATTATGCCATGTTATATCTCGTGGASGCTAAGGAAAGAATTGATTAATGAATTGAACCGACAATTAATATCTGTCATAAAAAAGTCAAAATGATTTAGTCATGCACCTAATAAGTCATCTYGCAGTTTTGTGCTCCGCCATCTTTTTACATGAAATACGCAAGTGTAATAATAATGCATTGCGCATTGCGTACAGCGCAGGGCTGGGTTGTTCAAAGCCTGATTAGCGTTAATCCAGGGATAACTCCATAGGTTTTCTAAGAGTTAACCCAGGATTAGCGCTAATCGGGGTTTGAACAACCCGGCCCTGGATTGAAATCGGCACGAAGTGAACATCTTTGTTCTTTTACTCACTCCGATCATCCAATTCGCGCAAGTGAAATTTAATCAATTTAGTAACTATAATCACTGGAAGTACAGTCCTTAAAACGTTTATTCTAATCCTCTACTGTTCATATGTACACTAATATCAATTAATAGGTCTTTCCAAATTGTTCGAATATAGGAATGGGTGAAACAACCGTCTTGAAGCGCTGCAAACAAAAGGAAATGGCTTTTAGAATTGATGAAACCCGTTTATTTTCCTTAGTGGCATTGCGCAAGTCTTAACTGTACACTATGGCACGGTAAATGATGGCAAAAGAAACGGACCCTTATATAGCTGCTTTGTAATTGCTCGTTAGAACAAAACCTCTATTGCTAGGTTAGGTTTCGTCAGAAGTTATGTACTTCTGGTTTCGTTTTATTGTTTTGAAGAGCATCTAAAGTTGCGGCCACCTCTTTATTGTAGACTTACGTCCCTTTTTGTGTTCGTAAAATAGAGTTTCCATTGAACTAGAACGCTTTTATGTAGCTTGACCAAAARTCTCCTTACCTGATTACTGATGTGCTCTGGTGGGTTTTCCTCTCTGAAATGTTTGGTGCCGTAAGGCAAGCTGTTTAACAAGGAAAGGTTCAGAAATTAAATTCATGACTTTTGTCTCCTTTTGTCGCCTCTCATCTCCCGCTAAAAGAAAACGCGTGTTGAGAGGCAGCTGTATTCGTAAGCTGCAATGCAGACTCTTTGATCATAGACTTTTTAAGTCAGTTTGCAATGCACCACATAGTACTTGTGGTAGTATATGTGCAGATTAAAGAGACAAAGTGTGGATCAATGTCTTTCTTTCTTTTGTAATTTATTTAGATCATTTACCTTCCATAAGATGAAGTGGTGTGAAGCAGAGGATCGTAAGGACGAAGTCTGTGTGTGAAAGGTACAAACCTAGAAAATACRACAAAACGAAACGATGCACAACTGACGTCATCAAGAAACAATCAAAGATGGAATATATTCAATAACTTACTTATCATCGATAACTCTTGTAACCCATTCCTTTGCTTTCATTTCCATTCTGAAAGTAAAATTGGTTTACTGCGCTCTTTTCTTGACTAGCATAGTCTAGCATACTTCAATGTTGACCGACAGATTGGGATCAAAACGCGCTACCCCCTTCAAAGGGGCRCGGCAACAATTAGTGTGGAAATATTAATAAAAATCATAGCGACATCAGAACAACTCTCTGCAATTTCGATATCGTCATATCAGAACGATATCGAAACAAAACAACAAATCTCCATTAAATGCGGCTAACCTGGTTTGTTCAGCCGAATCATATGCTGTAGCAACTCGAAGAGTAGGGTTGAGAGACTTATGTCGTTGCTGCCAAACTTCCTCKGGAGTACGGAAGGGACCCTGAATGGTATCAAACAATAATATTAACACAATAATTTAACAGTACTTGATTAATTAGTAATTAATTGTACAATGACATAACTAAGACCCTTGCATGCTCTAGGTTTTCCAATGATTATTTTTATTGCACTTTAAGGGAACGTGTGGTAGTCCTCGCTAAAGTAAGCTTTCTCGCACAAAGGAGACACCTTTGCGAACGCTATATTAAATAAAGTAACTCTTTACATTGCGTCTGTCATAGTCATGTCTTCATAAGTTATTGCAAKGTACTGAAAGGAAAGCAGGTTGATCTCAAAATTTGCTGACTTTGAAGTCAGCAATGTTGAAAGCTCTGTAAAGTGATATCAGACTAAAGGAAGGTATTTTGACAAAATGAACAACCTGCATTTCTGAAAAATACAAGGTAAAAGTAACAATTGCTATTAATTTTGGAGAACCTGCACAAAATCACTACTTCTGACCTTACATATCGATCTATAGTCTTTCCTAGCAAATTCAAAGGATTGTACTGAACTATTGTTTACAACCTACCTGAATTTTTGGAGCATTTATAGGAGGAAGAGGCTTATATTTCATATTTTSCTCATCAATGATAACTTCTTTGTCACTCAGGCTTTTACTTCTTCCTGTTCGAAGTCTTGCACTCAATGCAGCTCGTGATTTTGGACTTAATGGTTTTGTTGCTCTTAGTTCAATTTCCTTTGCTGTAATTCCTGTAAATTGTGGGTTGTACACACCAGGTATCTGATGTGTGCTGATCAAGTAGTGGGTCTTTTCTGCTTCCATTTTCCTGTCAGACTACAAAAATACACAAAATACACATTATAGATACAAAGCAAAAATGATTCTGAGTARCAATTGTGTATAGTAAATAGTGTTTTTGCAGTTTTCCCTATCAAAAAGGTTTTATGACTTTTTTGTTTTATTTTGCTCTGTTGCGTCACCAGGTATTACAGCTGTTTCAGAAAATGTTGAGTACTTTTAAAGTATATTATTTTGTTTAAAACATGACTACAAATACCTTTTCTTTTTCCATTTTCTTAATTTCTGCCTCCTGAGCAGCAGAAAGTGCAAGATTTTGAAGTTTTTCCCTAAACAGTGAACAGAACAAAACATGTAAATATTATTTTAAGGCCTGAAAATGTTTGCATGCCACTAGTCCCATTTGGAACCATTTAAGTTTTTGCTCAGATCAGCTAAGCCTAAGGATGTGTGTTAAAAACTAGTTAAAAAGATAAATTTAACACTGTAAGAAAAGTATGTGAAATAACTTACTGATGTTTCAGAATGGAAAGTTCCATCTCTTTACTCCGACGAAAGATTAACGTCCGAAATGTCAGTAAGTTATTTCACATACTTTTTTACAGTGTTGAATTTATCTTTTTACACAACTGTTTCTTTAGAAACACCGATGCAGCTCACACTAGTTTAACGCTAGTTCCCACCACTTTGTTAAACTAGCCTGAATCAAAAGGACAGTGTCAACAGTTAGTCCTAAACAAGGTCTCAAATGAATGACCTATACCAGACTAGTCCMTGAATACCATACCCTACCAGTCAACAATAATTTTCATAAAAATTTACGTGTGACATGGTCATGCAACTTGTCACTTCACAGAATATTAGAGCGCAGAAACCAATCAGGAAGTGTGAATTTGTAAGCAACAAAGATGTTCAGAATCGTTTGGAAACCAAAATGTCAACAATGTGGGATAACGAGGAAGGTTATCATTCTATAGCCAGTTCTGCTGCAGAAAAAAATTATGCATGCAACTCAAATTGCAAAACATTGTGTGTTTCATATGGTCTCGTGCAACCTGAAAATATTTTTTTGTGCAAGACAAGTTGCATGAGAAATCGTAGTGTGTGACATAGCCTTTATGGCCTGCTGCCATGTTTTTAGTCTTGTAGGTATTAGATATAACACTCAACATACCTAACTGTTGCATTTCTGACAGCCAGTCCTTCAAGGAAAGCTTTCCTGCTGTAGAAGTTATGGATATATTTTCTTGTATAGTATCCTGCAAACAAAAACGCAATGATGTTAGAATAATTCAAATTTTAGGTAGACTCAAAATGTTTSCAATTTTAATTATTCACGCTCAGTGTTTATGTTGTAGTTCAGGTTCAATATATTTTTGAACCACTTTAATCTAATTTGTTCCAGTACAAGACTTCTAAAAGAACTATATCCCATCTCATTCTCTCCCATTTTCTATCTATCATCTTATTTTCTACCTTCAACTATTTCCTACTTTATCTTACCCTATACCCCACAGAAATATTTATATTTTCTATATTTTTAATTTATGAATAAACACTTACCTTCACCAGGGTTTGAAMCACTGAACTACCAATTATACCATCAAGGATTTTGTTGGTAGTAATGTTTGCAAATTGTTTTTATCTTGTAATTTTAATAATGAAGAAAACTTTCATATAATGCTGGCTCAACCCTATTCCCAACCCTAAACCTAACCCTAAACCTAACCCAAAACCTAAACCTAACCCTAAACCTAACCCTAAACCTAACCCCTAAACCTAACCCCTAAACCTAACCCTAAACCTAACCCTAAACCTAACCCAAAACCTAACCCTAACCCTAAACCTAACCCCTAAACCTAACCCCTAAACCTAACCCCTAAACCTAAGCCCCCCAACCCCCCTGCTCCACGGTCCCTGCTTTCCCAAATCGAAAAGGAGACTGTTAACTAGTATGACAATAGCCCTTTAACTTATTGAAAACCAAACCTTACCACATGAAAAACTATACTACAAGTGGTGCTAAGTTCAAGTTTGAAGCTATTTGGTTGAATACTCGCTGAGTGACAATTTTGCAAAAACAAAAGAGAATGTATGGGTTTTTGTAAATGTTTGTCGCTCATTTATTTCTCATCCAAATCCTTAAACYCTGCAGTTATATACTAATTTTAGTATGCTCTTTCTTATCGCAGAATCTGTTTCATGATTGCTTGCTTTGTGACTAAGCACAATCCCTTTTATGAATTTRAGAATGTACAATTCAAAACATCTAGAGATCTTGCCATTTACTTACCTTTCCAAACTTTTTGAATCTGTTAACCAGAAAAAAGTATTTAAATTATAAGAAAAATATGTGTAATCAAAACAAAAATAATACAGTGAGGTTTATATCTTACCTTTATTGCTTGGCAATTATAATAGTTTATTCTCATTTTAGCAACATGCTCCTGAAATTCAAAATTTATATATTAGTTATAAATCATGAAAAATAAGATGGCCTGTTGGCTTAGTGGTGCTTTTAGTAGAGATCAAATAGAGAAGGGAACAAAGAACGAAAGTACACATTGAAAATGGTGATGATTCCTTTATATGAAGTGTTGAATGAAAATAATGAACAATAATAATCTACATGAGTAAACAATATGCAGATAACTTAATGCTGATATCAAATGAACAATTGGTCAAAAATAATGTAAATTTTCAGCAACAAYACACTCACCTTAACAAGCTGCCTATATATTTCTCTTCCTTTGAAACCTCTAAAATGTCTTTGTATTGTTCTTGCACAGGAATTTAAATATCTGTCAAAAAGTAATAAGTTTTGAATACTGATTATTGCATATGTTTATATCATTGGTTGGGTTACAATAACTAAGGAAAGTATTAAGCTATAAAGGATACAGCTTGATTTTAGATTCCTATAAAAGTTTTGATAGTATCTTTCAAAATACTTAATGGTAGTTGTTTTTGTTCAGCTTTACCTGATATATGCTCTGACTCTTGTGGCTCTAAACCAGCTTTGAATTTTCAYGGCAGCAGCATACTCTACAGTTCGTTGATCTTCAGATTCACTGAAACATAGATCACTTTATTATTAGGATTACAACATATTAAAATACCACCATCACCGCGACTCAGTGTCAGGTTTGTATTTTTTCGGAATATTTCCGTTGAAATTATGTCAACAAATAAATCCTAAGAAACGTTCGAGYCTTTATATATCCGAGAAGCATACTTTGGATTCATTACCTTGTGTTTTCAAATAGTTTTACGATAATTTCTCGCCTTCTTTCCATTAACATGATGAAGGTCGCCATTTTTGTGTGTGTTCTTTCAATGTTTCCATGACGACGTGTCTTTTATTAGTTACCAGGTTCAGCTCTAATGCTTCCGTTGACACAGGTATCCCGTGTTTCTAAACCAATGTACCAAAGAATAGGTTTCTGAATCTATATGACCACGTTAGATTATTCATTTTGAAAAAAATTTCTGCAACATGATCAGAARCACCACAGTTTTACCTATTTCTCAATATTTTAGGGTTTTCTATTTTTTCTATTTTATTGTTACGATTCGCGTGTTTATTGACATTTTTAGCTGCTTGTTTAGACAGGACGGAATGTCATTCTGAGTTTGACGAAATAGCACCAAGCACCACACGTTTAAGGTTATATGGCTTCAAGATGTGTCCTAACTACACGTTTTCGACCCCAGAGCACACAGGAAGTAGATCAGTWYGTTTCTAAATTTGGTTTGCTTTTGGCTCATTTTGACGATATTTTTGACCCACAACTGATTAAAAACTCAGTAGAGCGTACAAGACAAAGAGTGCCGCCTTTCAGAGCAGGCCGGCCAGTACCGATGAAAATGCTCCGGACAATGATCTCGTTTATTTTATTTCCTTCAGTTTTTTTTCCTATTCGAATTTTAGGGAACTAACAGTAAAAGTGCAATTCAAAATAAACGAATTACAATGATTATAAATGTAAATTGAAATCATGATTCATTGCTTTTTGATGATTTTTGAAAAGTGTACGTAAATCGCTTATTTTTTGATGCTCCCTTTCTCCTTACATTGGCAAAATATTTGAATGAAGTCATACTTGAGAATATCTTACCCATCTTGGGTTTAATTCATGTGACGTCACAAAAAATATAAAATCTTGTTGTCAAACTATTTTTGTCAAACTATGTAGATTTTGGTGCTCACCAATATCGCTTATTTTTTGATGCTCCCTTTCTCCTTACATTGGCAAAATATTTGAATGAAGTCATACTTGAGAATATCTTACCCATCTTGGGTTTCATTTGACGTCACAAAAAATATAAAATCTTGTCAAACTATTTTTTCAAACTATATAGATTTCGGTGCTCTAACTATGACTTCACTTTAATGCGAGTTATATATATATATTATTTATCATATACATGTAGTTATCTAATATATTTATCTATATGAAATACCTATATTTCTCCATTTCGGACTAGTGAAAATAACACATTCGGGGTTTCTCTATATAGTGGAAGTAAGAAAATTTGCTTTCATATACAATTATATGATAAATAGAATATTACATGTTCGCTTGGAGATACGAATTTTATCTTCTCTCGCTACGCTTACTCGTGAGAGATCTTTTCAACTTTCGACTGATAAAATCCGTATCTCCGCGCGTCCATGTAATATCCTCTCTATATATAAAAAATGAGATAACGACGTCAGACCGAGAAACCCAAGAATCTGCACTGTGAATTACAACTACATTTTCAATGGTATTCTATTCTAGAGTAGCTTTGAAAATTTTCAGTATAACCGCTGTGTCAGCGGKTTTTTTTTTGGCTTGAACAAAGAACAGCTAAAGAAGTTGCAAGACTTTGAATTTAGCCATGGAGTCATTCATTATTCATGACAATTTTTCACGAATTTCTACTCCACCACACTACTAAAGATCTAAATTTAAGCCCACTTCTCCACCTGTAATTTTTTCGTGTTTTTGGCTTTTTTTTCGCGTAAAAAGTTTTATCCTCATATTTTCATCAAAACCATAACAAGAAACGAAACTTTACAAGAAATTTGCTTTCGTTGATATTTCATTGAATTATAGCTSCAAAGCTTCTCTCAATTTACATTGGCATTTAGATAAAATTGTTTCTAAATTAGGAACATACAAGCACGGTCGATTCGAGAAGAAAGTTTGTTTAAGGAAGACACACCGTCGAACCGTCGAGAAAACGTGACGCCTGCACTTGTGACGTCATGTCTAATGCTTACCTCCCATAACCCCGCAATGGCCGTAAAACAATCGTCACGTAACCAAAGTTACCCCGCACTACAACTTACAACTTTAGCTTCTTTTAAAACTAATATTACTTTGGAGTATTGCTCACAGGGTTGTATTAACATTCCAATAATGACACTGAAAGAATGCTCATCGAGAATATTCTTATTCATGGTCTGTTAAGTCTCGTAAGTACTTCGTTAATACTTCGTAAGTACTTCGTTGCACCTCCGCTTGTAATCGATTGAAATACGGACGTGATCTGATTGGTTATCGATGACATCATATATTTCCTTTGATGATTGAAGTATATAAAGATGATCTTTGTTCATGAAAGGTTTGTTTTGATCAAAAATTTCAAAAGCAGAAGAAAACTGGATTTTATACTTCAGTAAATACTTTGAAAGCAATTGATTCTGCCGCCATTTCTTATTCGATTTTTTTTAAGATTCAAGTTTGTACTTGTGTTCGTGGCATAGCCCAAACCAAGTGCCCAAGTTCGCAAGTAATATTGTCGGAAAAGCCATTTTCTGATGCCTGGTTCCGTGACTGAAATAAGGGCCTCGCAAATTCAACCAGAATTGGCCAACATGAGTTTCCAATGCCCGATTGTAACGTCCTCAGAAGTCGCCGAGAAAATTCTAAGAGATGAAGGTAGAACTGTTTTGGTTGATTGTCGTTCGTTGCTTGCTTTCACTACTGTGCATATCAAAGGAGCCATACATGTAAATTGTTCGTCATTAGCTACTAAGAGACTTACTCAAGGAAAAACTAAGCTTAAAGACTTAATATCATCACAAGAAGGAAAGGAAAAATATATTAATAGTTCTGCGCAAAGTTTTATTGTATACGACGAAGTCACAAGCACTGAGGACAATGGAAGTTCGGCTTCCAAGTCAGCTGTCTTTATCGTCATACAAAACTTATCCAAAGAAGGAAAGGAAACGTCTTTACTGAAAGGTGAGCTGGAAATTCTGTGCTTTTAATATAAAGTCTTGCAATTATTCTCAAGATTGGTGATATGTGCGCAGTGTCAAGATACGCGCGCTCGGCATGTAAACAAAAGACAGATGTGACAGATACGCACGATTAATTCAGCGCGCGTGCAGTAAATTTRCACTGCAACACGTGTGTTACCCAGATAAAAGGAAAATCGAAAAACAGCTTTTATTTGCTATTTCCACTTGAATTTGAATCAAGTTTTGAAGTAATTTATCTTCATTAGCACTTCTGCATTGACGATAATGCGTGACTGCTTTCGCTTTCATTTGGTTCAACAACACACCTTGAGATTAAAAATCTTGGAAAACCCCCGAATGCAGTGGTGTATTCAGTGATGTTTCTGTGGTAACACCTCTTGTTTTACCGTTGATATAGTGTGTGCAACGCTGTCAGTAACTAGCAGTAGTATAGTAGACTATTTGTACTTTACTGAGGATTATATCAAGCTTTCGACTTGTTTACGAAAACGAAACCCTTGGTTTTTCAAGTACTAGTGTCGTTGARCTTCATTGCTGTAAACCAAAAATGTGCTGTCATGACAGATTTTCCACGTCTGAACTACCAAGTCCTACTGTATGCTTAGTCAGCACTTTTCCTTCGCTTTGAAAATGATTATTCAACGAAAAGTGACTTTTAATCAATTCTTTAGACAACTACACCATACCTAGATATCCAACGTGAAGCAAATGATTGAGCCAAAATGTCATTTTGTGATGAGAAGCGTATCGAAAGGGTAAATTTTTGCTACCGGGGGTCACCTCATCGAATGAATTGGTGCGAATGGCTGAGCACTGAGACCTTTTCAACGCGCAAGCAGGTGACTTTTTGTTATTGTTGAAAACCACGGACTACCACTACTTGAATAAGACAAATATATTTAAAGTAACTTAACTGAGAACTAACAAATAAAATAATACTCATTATAGGAGTGAAAGGAATGAAAATTTCAACTAATTGTTTCGATTATCCAATTAATTCCAATGAGTAGGTTGTAGTCGTAGTCTTGATTACGCTATTTTAAGAAMTACTTCCTGCAGTTAATGTTTATAGCAACAATGATATTGCTAAAGTAGAAAACTAGCGATTTTTGTGTGTTTTTCAATGGACGATTTCAAAGTAGCCGGATTTGACGTGATGTTTTTGAGATTCCCTCATTGTGTGACCCAGTGGAGTGTATTAAATGTTGCGATTTTTCAAGTATATATCGATAAGGGTCTGCTCAGCTCACTGGGCTGCAAATGCATTACAACACTCGTTATACGTTCACAGAAGCCTTTCGTAGAAGCGATGAGGTTCACTAGTGGCTACACCGTTAGTACAAGGATCATTGCAAGCGTATAAACATGACATGTAGAGTTGTAGTCCTGCCTCCCTTGAAGTTGCGTCCATTGGGTAAAGTATTGCAATGTTTTTGGTGGCCTTGCATTCATTGTAATTTGTATAGCTATTTTGCACGAGGAAATTCGCTGTTTTTGCCCGTTTCTTAATTTTTGCTTTATATTTGGTGAAGTGATTTGCGTTATAATAATGTTGCGACGAAAATGACAAAACATCGCGGCTGCATTCGTTCTACTTCATAACAAATACTTARTCAGTCAGGCTGACAACGATAAAAAATGGACAAAACAAAAAAAAATGTCAACCTCGTGCAGTATCCCGGTCTATTCATGGCCGGTTTGGTGTTCWGGTTCATAGACTTCAGTTCCTAAAAAATCAAAATACACTCAGTTTAGTGCAGTGTTGCTTACTAGTAGTTATAACATTTGTTTGTTTTTTATTTCTTTTTTTTTTATTTTTGCACTATTGTTTTTTTGTGATAAACATATTTCGTAAACAAATTGTGAACCTAAGTAGCATCCATTGCAAGCAACAATCGTTTCTAGCAAAAGACTGTTCCATTGTCGTAAAATTGTAATGTACGTTTCAAAGCAAAAAACGAACATTTTTTCGCAATTTTGTTTTTTGTTTTGTTTTGTTTAGAGACAATTAGTTTTATGAGTCAATTGACACGATGGAAACAGTTTTTTTGCTTTTGTTTTTGCGGGATTGAGAGTTTTCCGTTAGGTCCATTCAGTGTCYATACCACCATAGCATTTGGGTCACTGCCTTGCCAATACAGCCATGATGTCTCACTTCAGTCCGTAAGATTCGTAAACAGTGGTTAAACAAATTTGTTAGTTTGTAATTATATTAATGTTTACCAGCTCATTGACAAGATTTGTTTCGAAACAACAAATTTGCAGTGTTTTGTAGACAGGATTGACATATATTTGATTTGTAACTGTTGATATAGTTGCATGTGTCACTTTTGTCAAAGCTGGAAAGTGTGTCAAAGAGTTTCCAGATCCACTAGGCTTAAAATAWTTCCAAGTTTAGTTTTGTAGAAATCGAATCGACAAATTGGAACTAATGGAAGCGATTTTTCTTACAACAGGTGTTTCTGTCAAAGTCATTGGTGCAAATCCAAAAAAATAATTGCTTGAATCATTCTTGTCTAGGATTGTGAAGTCATAATTAAGTAATGTTTGTGTTGTTCGCTAAATTATGATCTCATGTGACATTGTCCAGTTTTGTATAGCTCCAAAACATATCGATACGATAATAGCAACAAAGACAAAGAAACGGGAAAAGGATTGCTTGAARGAAATATACTGTGTATGGATTTAAGGCTCGATGAATATGGGATGCGCTTAATACATTTGAGACACCGAAAGGTTCCTTCAACGGGTACTTACCATTTGCGCAAATTTGTTTGTGTCAGCTACACACTTGACTTGATGCTAGGATACTGGTGTTGCCGCGGGGACACTGTAGGAGTTCAAGTGCAGCTTTATTTGACGCTTGCAATAATTCCATTTTCATACAATCGTCTATAATGCGTCCAAATTCATGCGGGAAAACACCAAAATCTACTGCACAATAGAGAGTTGTCATGCTCTGCTACTGATTCAAACTCTAACAGAATCCTGAACCGAAGCAAGTTTGCTTGAGCTGCAAAAAAATAGCTTTACCATACACTGCGCAAAACGTTGCAGTTTGTTTCAACTCGATTTCCTTAGAGAGAAATACAAGGAGTAAGATAGCTATGGCAATGTTGTTGAGAGTACAGCGACTGGTACCCGTATTAAGACTAAATGTCAACAAAAGAACAATGGCCTCTGTCACTTTTTGATTATTCGTGAACGAAAACTAGTTGAACCAATTGAACACGCTTACTCATTCACTGCAGAAATGCTTGTAACCGTGTTGTTGCGAAACTCTTTTCTTGTTCGTAGAATTGGAGCGTTTTGAACCTCATGATCATTGTTTTTATGGACTGTTTACAGTCAAATGTGTGGCACTAATTTATTTACTGTTATGAACGTAAATTGACTGTTTATCAATCCTTTTGTTTAATTACAATGAAATAGTTTTTGACCGGATTTCTTTAATTAATGATAGTTTTAATTCACTGTACAGGTGGTTTAAAGGAGTTTTGCAAGAACTACGGCAGCCTTTGTGAAAATGCGTCTTCAAAAATCTGCGATGTGGTAACTCCCCCAACTCCACCCATTTCAGAATACTGCGAGCACAGACCGCGGGGACCTCCTGCCTCAGCCATTTTACCGTTTCTTTTTCTTGGAAGCGAGGAGGGCGCCGCTGATGAAGAGCTGGTTGATAGACTAGCTATCAAGTTTATACTCAACATGACGGAAATGTGTCCGAACTTTTTCGTACACCGCAAGGACATTCATTACAAGCAAATCAAAATTAACGATTCTTATCAAGAAGACATTGGRCAATACTTTGARGAAGCAGTTCGGTTCATAGGTAAGACGATAGAAAAATTAACGATTTGTTGTATTAGAYCATGAGGYTTTGCGAGTATATTGTGTTTAGATGGCGTAGTGGCCTTTGTTTTTATTTTTGTTCGCCGGTTTTTTATCCGGGTATGATCATGATGATTGTATTTCAACTAAACTGACTCAAAATATACGACTTTTTCACACGATTTGAAAGATTCTTTATTGCATATTTGTTTTCGAAAAATCTTGTATCGCAACCAAAAAATTCTGAGCGCTCAATGCRTGGGAATAGTGACTTAGCCTGCTTTGGATATTTTAGTCTCAAGTAGGCTAAATTTCGGTCAGAMAAATTACTAGATTGGCAACAATTCAACAACTAAGGTTAGCGATGCAAGGCTTTTCTCAGTAAACCATTTCCATTTTATGGGATCTTTATGATGTGCCATTTTCCCTTTTAGATGAAGCACGTGCCAATGGAACGCGCGTACTGGTTCACTGTCACGCAGGAGTGTCACGTTCTGCGACTGTGACGGTAGCTTACGTGATGAAGCACCTGGGCCTTTCGCTCAACGATGCTTACAAGTTTGTGAAGGAAAAAAGACCGGAAATTTCACCGAACCTTAACTTTATGGGACATCTTCTGAAGTACGAAAAAAACAAAAAGAATACCGAATAGACCTGTATAGGACGTTGGAAGGAAAGCAAAGCGACCTCGTGCATTTACAAAAGACAAAACGTCTTGCTGCCTTGAAATRTTTTACACTTTATAATCAAAAGCAAGGAAACGAAGAGTTCTAAATAATGTTATGAATACCAAAGAACACAAAGAAAAMGTTGTCTCGATGTTCGATACTCGTGTAAATGTGTAACTTCCATAGCATGGGTTTGCAAGATCTTTAAACTTGCAGTGTGGCCTATAACTGCAGACCTGTTTTGACGAAACGCACAACGCAATGTTCTGAGTGAAAAGTTATACAACGAGTTTGACAAAACATTTGTACAGATACCGTTCAGAATAATGATAATGATTCGCTCTGTATCAGAGTTAAAGTAATTTCTTAGACATAAACTTATTTCGTTAAGTTAAGCATGAATTTGACAAAGAAAAGATTCAATCGTTCAAGATGGTGATATTGTTTATAAATTGAAAAGTTTATATAATAAATGATATTTTGGAAAAAAAAACGGTCGTTTTTTTTGGACATTCAATTACTGTAAATATGTTTCTCAATAGAGAGTTTTAGACAATCGTTTACGGCGAACGTCAAAATTGATCACGTGATCACTGTTTTTCTCTATTAACGCTCTGTTCTTTCGCGATTGTGTTTAAAATATATCATTTTTTAGTGCATAAGCGAATCACTAATCCTTTTGAAGCGTCTTTACGTTTATTTCAAATTTTGAGACAAAGTATAAAAGCCAATTCGACGTTTGGCGTTTGCCGAGTAAACGTGAATCTAAACTCTCTAATATCCTTGATTAATCCTTCCACTCATAAGCGAATCACTAATACTTTTGAAGCGTTTTTACGTTTATTTTAAATTTTGAGACAAAGTATAAAAGCCAATTCGATGTTTGGCGTTTGTCATTTGTCATACAACTAGACGCTCTGGGAGCGTGAAGTCGGACTAGCTGCTTGTGAAAATTGAGAAAGACAGGATATTACATTACGTTATTTCTTAACTTTTTTTTCCAAAACAGCCGAACTCACGGTCTAATAAGAGCGTCTAGTTCAAAATATGCAAAATTTATTGAGACTTTAAATAAACTTGACCTAAAAGGTCATGTAATTAACGCTTGCTTTGACTGATAAAATCAACTACGCTCAGACAAATGTTTCGCTAAGTGATATCATGATATCTAAAACGTTGACCTCTCAGGCAAAGAAAATAAAAACTTTACAAGGAAAACAAGATGCCTATAAAATCATTAAATTCGCCTTTCTGTTATTGATAAACAAAGTTTCTTCTTGTTCTAATTTGAAATCTTTGCCCCCACAAGACTGTCTAACACTAGAAAGGATATTGATTCAGTTTTGTAAGCATACAACTCGAAACTATGCGATCTGCACATGCGCGTACTTCTAATGCCTAGACAGATGCATTCCGATGAGATCACAGATACCACATTTGTAAACGAATAGTTTTTTTGTCATATAAAAGCCAAGAGCATATAACATTTACTAACGATATTCGTACATCAATACGCTTGAGCTTCCGGTCATGTAATAACACAGCTAACCCAATAGTTAATTATTAAATTCTTAACTTCCGGTGGTCCAAACGCGACATAATAGATAGATAGATAGATAGATTGATTGATTGATTGGCTAAAAGGTAAAACTAAAGTCGACCTAGCCTTCGGGTAGTCCGACTAACTAAACGCTTTTAAAGCGTGAAGTAGGGCTAGCTATTTTGGAAAATAGACAGAGACAGGATATCACTCCTGGTCGATATTTCTTTGTTACAACAAGCCGAACTGCACATTAATGAATAAAAAAACTAGCGTAACGCATTCTTGCTTTCACTATATATTTCAAGTAAAAAAATGGTATTCTAGCCCAAAATTTACTTTCAGTATAACTTGAATTCAGCGGGAATTATTTGACATTGATTTTCCTGTCATTTCTTGTTATTTTGCGGGCACTATGCCTACCGGACAAGATGGCTGCCAAAACCGTCACCTCATCTATTGAATTCTTGGTAAATTTAGTTAGGAGAAGGGCACACGTGGAGTTAGAGGGACATTAAAGTTTCCAAAATTAGTATGGTGTTATTCAGTATTTGCAGTTAATGTAATCATTCCACGATTAATGATAAATTTTAAGGCGGGTTCTTTTTGATTATTGATGACAACATCAATACGGCCGCGCGCATAGAACGCTATTCAAGATTCTTTTTCTAATTCAACAAATCCTTGATTGAACTAGTAAATACATGCTTAGATGATGGACGTACATGAACACACTAGATTATCTTGCTAAGTTCTGGATTCTTGAAAATTTGATTATGAAGGACACACACAAAAGAAGCCAATTTTTTAGACTGGCGCACCTAAAGAGCAAATAACTAAGACTGATTTGCATTGTATGTAAGCGATAGATTTTCCCCCATTTTGATTTTTCAAGTCTTTTATTAAATCACTCGTTTATAGAATAATAGTGGAAACGTGTTTTATGTTTAACAAACTTGTATGAACAGTCCCAAATTCGTATGCACCTTCCTGTCAAACACCTCGGCTAAGACACTAAAAAGAATATCCACATCATTATATTTTCTTTAGAAAAATTAAATTCCTTCATTGTAATTTCGAAATCTATTAATGAGAGTGAAAACATACTTATTTAATAGACATAAAAAGTCATCACTGTCGACAAACATAAACTCAATAGTAATATAACCTAACTCAATATAATAAGTACCTCATATAGTCAAATGTGGAGTTGAAGTGTCACMTGATAAATCCTGCTCAAATTACACTATAATAGTAATATTCGGTGTTATAATGATTAGTTACGAAAAATGCTACATTGATGAGTATATATATAATAAATCTACAACACTAAGATTCCACTATGACTAATTAGTTTTTATGTCTTCATGAGATATTACTTCATGCAGTGTTTGTTATCTGTGTTGGTTGAGATCAGGGTTTAAATGGCAACCAAGCCTGCATCCCTTGTGGAGCAAATAGCATGGCCAGTAGTCAGAGCTGCTATGTAGTAGAAGGTCTTGCTTTGTTCATTTGTTCTCCCAATATAACAACCGTCAAATGCAAACTTGTATATCATCTTATCAATACACACCAGTAGATTATTATCGCTGTCAACCGCCAAACCTCGGGGTACATTTTCTTCATTTAACTGAGCAACACCACAGTCCGTGCATTTGCCACCAATGGTCATAACTGTATCTGATAAGCGTTTGTTCTTCATTTCAATGACGTAAACCCCTGGTGGTGAACCCAAGTAACTGACATAAAACAGACCTTTGTGTGTAATCATGTCATAAGGTTTTCCATCATCTTGCAACCTGAACTGATATAGATATTCACCATCCTCAGTGAATACCTGTATACGACGATTACCATAATCACATACAAAGATGTTAGAAGCATCATCAACGCATACTCCACGGGGATCCATGAACTGTCCATATCCGCTACCTTGACAACCTAAGGTTTTAATCGTTTCCCCTTTAAATGTGTCCAGAATGCAGATTCTGTGGTTTCCRAAATCGGCTATGACTAAATCAGTTTCACCAAGAAATGCTAAACTCTGTGGATATCTATATTGTTTCTGGCCACTTCCTTCGCTACCAAATTTCAGCAGCAAATCTCCCTCCATGTTGAAGACTCTAACACAGTGTGAATAAGCATCTGTTATAGCAATTCTATCATTTGTTGTGTTTACAGCTATACCACGATAGCTGTTTGAGCCTATATTCAAATTTGCTAGCAAATTTTTGTTTTTTTTGATTGGTATGTTTTGTGGTTCAATGTCCATAACAAGTGGACTGTTAGATACAGGATTTCCACGCACTTCTATATGTGCATTAAATTGACCAGGAACATGAAAAGTTACTTCCAATGTTGCCTCACCATCAATTGTCATCTGTTTCTCACCCATCTTAAAGTCATCTTCAGGTGTAATCTGTATGGTTATATTGTCCAGAGATTCATTAGCTGCTTTTCCTTCTGCAGTTTTCATTTCTACCGTTAGTTTTGTTATTTCCATGGCCTCTACGCTGGGTTCCACTTTCACTGMACATGACTTTGCATCAGCCTTTTTGAATAAAGTTACTTGTCCCTGACCAGCCTTCACTTGATCGTAAAGCTCATCATTTGGCTCGAAATGGATGCCACCCACGTCCTGCTGGAATGGTTCATAAGAAAAATTTTGAGAGCACATATTATTTCGATTTTCTATCATTTCACTTGCTGTTGAATTTCCAGCGAAGTATTTGACGTATTCTTGCGCTGCTGATGTGTGATGTAATATTCGCAAGTTCCTTTCAGCTTTCGTTATGGAATCCTGTATCTCAGCTAAAAGTTGTTGTTCCTGGTCAAGCAATGTTTTTACCAAGTTCTTTGTTACTTTCTTGACATGTTCTTTAGCCTTTTGTCCAGAATCTCGAATGTCAACGGCGATTTCTTCTTGCTGTTTTTTTTCTTCTTCGTTGGGAGTCACTCTCTCGATTTCTTCAAGGTTTTTCATCAGATCTTCTTTCTCAATGGCAATGAATTCCTGCAGTGATGATAAGTCATGCCTGTCGTGTGTTTGTTCTTCCAGGCAAAGCAAACAGATAAGTGCATCGCAGTCTTGACAATACAACGCAACATCTTGATTAGTGTGTGTTTTACATGAATGTTCTCTTCTCATCATTGTTTCAATGTCTTCCTTAGTCATGCTGGACAATGAAACAATTTTATGATTCTGGGCGAATCTAGCATGCCAACTCAGACACTCGTCACACAACGAGCAATCACAGTCTAGACATCGCCATAATGCTTCACAATGACTCACTTCAACCGAGCAAACCTTCTGGTTCTCTACAAKCGATAAGACTTTCAGGATTCTTGAGTGTATCGAGCTGGTTTGCAAGTCTTCCACGTCTTCGAGTTGTTCAAGCACGGTTTGTGARGTACATTGGGGACACTTGAAGACGTTGACTTGTCCATCGAGTTGTGTATTTGATTTGATACAATTCTTACAAAATGTATGGAAGCATTGTAATAACTTGGGTTCATACATCGTCTCATTGCATAGCAAACACTGGACCTGGTTCTTAAGATCTTCTAAGAATGACTCCATTTTATGGAAGCTCTGGGAAGCTAACGTTGCGAAGAAAAAGCTGAGCGAATGTAGTGTTTCTGGTATTTCCGGGAAAAAGCTCATTGTTTCCGGGAACTGTCTTTGAACTCTGGAATCATCACGTGACTAATTCCAAGCAATCGTAACGTATGATATGTTCGTGACATGAAACTGTCCTGCGCCAAGCCGAACTGCACATTTGATTAATAGAATGCTAGTGAAAGTAACGCATTCTTGCTTTCACTATAAAGTAAAGGTATTCCACGCCAAAATACTTTCATTGCTGCTGCAGCGTAGCGCGCCTGAAGCGCGCAAARCAAGAAAAGGTCAGATCTTGATGTTATCCACCCATAATGCATTGCTTTCGCTGCTAAACCAATGGGTTTCATGCTCATCGGGCGCTAACTATAAATATTCAACACACGAGGAAGCGAGAATCGTATCTGCTGAACTCGCTTCAAAGAAAAGAAAATCATTCGAAAACAGATAATAACCTTTATCCTAAAGAAGTGACTGAAGTAGATTCAGTGCCTTAAAATTGTGTAAAAAGTTGCAACAAACGTCGCGATGAAAAAACAACAAGAGCGGCAAGAGTTCATAGACAGCATTAAATCGACGCGAATATGTGCCTGAGTTTTACATCAAATTGTAACTTATCTCCTAAATTGCTAGATTTATGATTGGTTCCTTCTATAGATTTTTATTGACGTTTTTGTGCGAGATGACGTGTTGGAATGGTACAGAGCCGCCGTACATCGCCTTGTACCAACTAAAAATCAAAACATACAATATTATCTTATMGTGTTGAAAATCTTTTCTCTCGTTCGCGTATCCGCGCACCGTTGCAATATCCTGTCTTTCTCAATATTCCAAAATAGCCGGCCCGACTTCACGCTCTAAGACCGTCTAGTTTTTTAGAAGGAAAGAGACGACAGCGGAGGAGGCTTCTACAGACTGAGAGCGTCATAGATTTCAAAAGTAGACGGGAACAAGTGTAAAAATAGTATAACAATCCCCCTATTGTCTTCACATGTAATATATGTCTAGTTTATAGGAATGTTTTTCATTAAATTCTATCTGACGCCACGAGAGGGTAAGTAGGAAACTCTGAATCACAGGGAATCATGCGTGTCATCCTTTTAGTTTACCTATTGTATGTTTTGCTCTGCACTAATGTGTAATGAGCACTGTTCTACCGCTTCAGCTACAAATTCTCTCGGCTAAAATCTTGAAGAGTGAGATGTCTCCGAAGGACACTATATTTAATATTGTACGGTAGGTTCCCTTCAATGCAATTTAGCGTTATTATAAATCACGTGACCGAGGCTKCACTAAAACACTCATAGTTTCGCATTATATCGCCTCGATCGAAAAGTGAATGTTGTTTACGATAAAGAATCCAAACAATTATTTAAACTATTTCTACAATTGGGATAGTCCTGCAGATCAGTATCACAAATATCAACCTGGTATGTTATTTATGCGTTACAATACATGGCTAATATTGAATATGGCGGACACGCAAATTCAAAAACATTGTCAACACACAAGAAAAATCGGGACAAAAGAATCGGCACCGGCTGGTTCAGAGTCTTCCAGCAAAACATCCAAGAAAGATGAAAAGCCATCTCAAAGATGGACCGATCAAGAAGAACGTCTGGTATACTTTGTTTCGATAGTGCGACCGAAAACGATATTGGACTGTAGTTGTTTCGCAACTGTTTTGCTTCTGGATTGTTCTGTACATGTTGACTGAGAACCCAAAAAAATGTATCAAGTGCGACCAGGACCAATTGACTGTATGTTAACCAGACCAATTCCAACCAATATTGGCGACATGCCTTGTCAATTGCAGTATGTGACATCGATCATACATCACTTGACCTTGAAAAAAGTGTTTCAATTTCCCTTAAATTTACTTATTGCGCATATATGTCATGAAAAATTGGTCCAACAAAAATTCTGAAAAACATGTTTATGTTTTATATCACTTATTAAACCGTAGGACAATGGGATGCAACTGTACTCATAGTGAGCATTGTCCTGATTAATCACATAATATATGCTCTAAAGATGCAACCCGAGTGAGCGTTCCTA